TATTACAGTATTGTTACTAAACTATTACAGTAACAACAAAGTTTATTTTTCATACTACATACCCATTGTTAATTTGCTGGGAGCTCAGATTCACAACATTTTCACTAGGGACTTAACCTGAAAGAATGTCCACAATTTGCAAGATCTCTAGTGGTAGTGAGTAGATAACAGATATATGAAGTTATATACTGACCAAATGAGTAACTGTTTTCTACTCTTAACACTTCTGGCACCTAATGTGTGGACTTTTATTTTTTCCCCACTGAACAATTCTGACAGACCATACAGGTTAAGGGTTCGGTCGGACAAGATTGTCTTCCAGTTCATATGGCAATCCAGAGCCATCTGTACTCCTAACCAACAGGCATAGATCAGGGGTTCCCAAACCACCCCCCTTTGCCTTTGATAATTTGCTAGAATGGCTCACAGAACTCAGGAAAACAGTTTACATAATATTACCAGTTCAAATTATAATAAATATTTTTTAAAAATATATACTTGTAAATGCTTGTCTTAAAAAACAAAGTCATGGGACGCCTGGGTGGCTCAGTTGGTTAAGCGTCTGCCTTCGGCTCTGGTCATGATGCCAGGGTCCTGGGATTGGGCCCCGCATCAGGCTCCCTGTTCAACGGAGAGCCTGCCTCTCCCTCTCCCTCCCACTCTGCCTACTAGTGCTGTCAAATAAATAAAATCTTAAAAAAAAAAAAAAAAAAAACCACACACACACACAAAGTCAGGATAAAAATATTGTAGACTTCAGCAAAATTAAAACTGAAAGCTCTAAACTATGGGCTTGAACAGTTCATGCCAGAAATACTAGGTGTCTATAACTTCACTACTTTATCATCAGATACAGATTTTCAAATAATTAGAACAGGTTCCCAAAATACATCATTGTGTATCACAGCCTTCAATGATGACTTGCATCACAAACTTAGAATAATAGGATGAACAGTAATATCTTACACGTAAATTTAAAAGAATACTTAAAAAGGGACTAAGATCCTTTATGTGGATTAAGCTATATAACCTGGTTTTTAATTATTCATAGTTATGTTTGTAGAGTTATTTTAGAAAGAAGAATAGTACTTGATTTAAATTCATCCAATAAATTTTAAGGGCAAACTTTATCCTACATTTCTAGTCTAGAGCATAAATTTCCAGTCTTTTCTTATTTATTTACAACTTGAGAAATTGCGCACTAGATAATAAAGTCAGGAAACTTTATACTATACATAAATGGTCAAGTCAGCCACTTGATCCATAAGTCTAAGATTAATCTACCCATAAAGAATCTATTTTAAATGATTAATTTTTTGAGGCCAGCAAAATATTTTAAAGTCAATTTTGGAAAAAGTTGATTTGTGCTTTACTACATTGATATAGCTAAGGAAATCGCATATTCAGTAATTTCACAAATAATGTCTCTGACCAGAAAAAAAAAATGCATACATGTGAAGCATATCTAGAGTTAAGTAAAGGATCTGTTGAAATTTCTTATATCAGTTAAGAATATATGGAGAAATGGAGTTGAAACATTATATGATTAGATGCATTTGTTGGTATTTGAATTATCAAAGAATTATCAATAATTGATCATGGGTAACACTGCAGAAGATTTAGAGATATTCAAGAAGGAATCAATCCTTATCCTTTTCCAAATCAATTTCTTCCTTAAAGGTGTACACAATTTGGAATTACTCATTATGAAGAAAGTATGACTAATTAATCAGAGGCTTTATTATAATCCCAAAAAGATAAAAGACTGAAATGTAACTAATAAGTTTAAATTCACCAAACACAGAAAGTCCTACATGTGTGTAGAACTCTACAAAAACACAAATAGAGACTTAACAGCAGCTTATGTGATCCTATTTAACTATAAATATCATATACATCAACACTGTGAAGGAGCAATTGAGCCATCCAGATCATCCCCATTACCAGAGATACTATATATGTAAGAATGCAGGTCTTCTTTAAACTAGAAAGACGGTATGTCTAGCACAGACAATGAAGCCAATACATTCTCTCATCCAAGGAGGAGTTACCAATCAACTGAAGCTATGTCTTATGAAAAATGGTTAAAAATCTTTCCAGATTTCACTGTTCTTCATTTCACTGATCAGAGACTGAAAAGGAAACACATTAACTATCTACAAATACACCCTAATGGCTATCACAGTGATGGACTGGTTTAGGGAACAAAATCCAGTGTATGAACGCTATAAAAAACTGTATCTGACAGCACCATGGAAAGCACAAACTGACACTCTTCTCACTTAACAGTGACAGAAGCTTTACCTTAGGAATCTTCATATCCCTAGTATTGATAGAATGTTTGTCAAATAGGCTCTCAAAATTGAAGATACTGATTTAGCTAAGTCGAAAAATTAGTACTGAAGTAAAAGGAAAAAGTAAAAAAAAAAAAAAAAAAAAAGTGAAAGACTGTCCAGAGGTAGTGGTTTCTTTATGTAGGGCCTATTTATGAGGACTGTATCCCAAAGTTTCATTTAGAGAGTATTAGCCTCAGAGTTGCCTATGTTTAAAGGGTTACAGTAGAAAATGGAAAATGATATCCCCTTGTCCCCGATTTGCAGATATGAAATGTTCATCAGCTTATTAAGAATTTGCGAGAAGCCCTCCATGGAAGACATCTGTTTAACTCTATTCACTGATGCCTCCCCAATTTTTTAACCATAGCTCTTTAACAGCCTATCTAATGAACATCGCAGAATCCTTTGGTAAATGCTCTTTAAGGTGGAATTGTGCCCTGGACATGTCCTCGCCTAGTAGGAGTCAACTGGCACCTGTGTCTTTAAGGACAAAAGTAAACCCTATATTTTAAACATTCTTACACATTTCAGACATCTTCACTATTTTATTTTAAAGAAAAGCAACATCCAAGTAAGCTATCTTTGCTTCTTAAAATGATGAGAGACATATTTTGAAGGCTTAGCAGGGTCATTTTCTATACAGTCTTGACAGCTAAGTAGACAGATTGCTTAACAGGTCCGATTTGCTCAAAATAATAATGGTCAGCTGCAAAGTAGTAGGCTGCAAAACCTCCTCCTTTTCAACAAGACCACTTTTCCAATCACAGGTGCAGAGTCATGTAGATATGCAACTCCATGGCATTCATGGGGAGAGAATGCCAGGTGTGGAGAAATGAACAATTTTGTTGCGAATATGAACTCCACAACAGTTGTCAGATTTAGGAAATAAAAACACAAAGTGCCCAGTTATACTGAATTTCATGTAAGATAACAAAGAATTTTAGTGCAAGTATGTTTCCTGTAATATTTCAGACATACTTGTACTAAAAATTATTGTTTATCTGAAATTTGCATCTCACTAGGCATGCTATATATCATTTGGACCATACTCTCCCACTGGAATATCAACTAGGGTGCATACAGACCCTTTGCGTTTAGCCTAAATCACAGGAAAAATAAAGTCCCGGGGACTGTATGTGCTCTTCCATTTCTTAGCTTTTGAGATTTTTCTCAATGAACTATTTTTATAACTACATAGTGTAGCATGAGTAGTGTGCATCCATGACTCCTTCGCATGGCACAAGAGAAAGAACTGATTTTTCCAACCACAATAATCTGGAATACAACCAAAGACAATCTATTGGAGAAGGAATATTTTTTTAAAGATTTTATTTATTTGACAGAGAGAGACACAGCAAGAGAGGGAACACAAGCAGGGGGAGTGGGAGAGGGAGAGCTGAGCAGGGAGCCCAATGTGGGGCTCAATCCCAGGACGCTAGGACCATGACCTGAGCTGAAGGCAGATGCTTAATGACTGAGCCACCCAGGCGCCCCAAAGACAGAATATTCTTGAACAAAGATACAGACCCAAGTTCTTATTCTTACTCTTCCAGTTATGCATTGTTCTTGGGCAAGTATGTGTATTTCTTCAGGCCTTGGCTGCCCTGACTTCAATAGCCCCTACAATGCTAATATATTATACTTCCATGATCCTAAGTAAATTTAGCTTTGCCTCATTCTTGATGACTACCCAGAGTCCATACTTACATATTATGGAAGCAGAGAAAACCACCTCAAAGAAAACCAAGGATTGGCTAAAAGATGGTGCTTATATTTAATTAAAATCCATTTGTTTCAAAAGAAATGTTGTTATCTTCAGGCTAAAAGGGTACCTTAAATATTTCACAAATAATAACTGTTATTCATCAACAATACATTCCTTGGTCAGTACAAATCACTTTTATTCCAGACCAATAAAAACCCTGTTGACTTTTCCACTTTCTTGATTCTTGTGGGGTACCTCTAAGACACTACAAAGCATTCTGCAATTTCAATAAAAGGTATCTATACACAAAGGGCAAATCCATCTTCCCTAACACAGTCTCCAAATAGTTTGATTTAAATAGCATTTCTTTGCACTAAGACTCTATAATGCTAATTCATTTTGCCTTCAGCTTAACTTTCTGCTATTAATAGAGTGACAATAAGAATTTTTCTCTAAATAGCATGCCCTCTTATAATATGAATGTCAAGCGTTGCTTTCAAGTAATTAAAAACCTGATCACCAACATCTTTAGCACAACATAAAAGAAACAAGCCATTTCAAATTACACAAATGGCTGCATTCTGAACTCAGTTAAATACAAAACTCTAGTTCAATTTGAATTTCTAATTTCAAATTCCAAATTTAGGACATACTTAAAATAATTTATTGTTTATCTGAAATTCAAATTTAGCCACGCATTCTGTATTTTTTTATTTAACAAATCTGGCAACCCCATGTGGGCTACCTAGTATAAGATATTCACCAATTTCACCTTTTTATTTTCCTTCATCAGAACACTTGTTTTGATTTTATTTTTCCCTCAAGAGAGGTTCTGCCTATGTGAGAACACAGACAATTTTCCAGCCAAAATTTTTCTTATCATTAATGTATCTTTGCTTTTAAAAAATCAGGTTCCCTCCATTAAAACTGTAGTCTACAAAACACAAAATTTTACTTACCTGTGGGAAATATATAAGAAGACCAGATAATAAAATATTTCTTTTTTTCACTTCCTTTGCATATTCCCTGATCTGTATTAGGCTTTCCATTTTCTCATCAAAAGGTACTGATTTATAATCAAGAAAATATACCTGCAAAATAATACAAAAGGTAATATTAGAATACCATTCCTTTCACTTTCCTTTGAAAAATATAACATTAAAGAAGCTCAAACACAAATATATTATTGTAATTTTTATCAGTGTGTGTTAATTTCTAGATATGCATTTCAACCATAAATGTTTATTAAAATTGATGAATCCTCCTTTATAAATAAAGGCAGTAAACAGTCATTGAGAACACAATGTTGAAAAATACAAAATGCTAATATTCTATTTCTACTTGTGTCAGAGTCAAATGTATAAAGAATATATGATTTCAACCATTTGTTCTATTTAATTTATAATTTGAAACTAGGCTACATAGAAATATTATATATTAGTTACCAATATCAATAAAATTAAAGGGAGTGTTTACCTATTACATTCATAAATATTTTTAGAAGAACCCCTTTCAAATAATTGAAATTCTAATAAATCACCTATTTCTTAGAGAAAATCCAGAATTTTATATGTAATTTTTAGCAGTGTTAAATAGTATTTTTCTTGAAATTATTCCAGACTATTTTTTAAATATTATTTTTCATTTAAATTTTAAGGAGCTCAGGGTAAGTTTTCCTCTTTCAAATTATTGAAGTTTTATGGTACTGTTCATCTTTTGTGGGACATAAAATATCTAAACCACAAGAGCATCAAAATAAGACACAATTGCGTACACAGAATAAACACTCAAACATTTGTATTCTTTCACAATACCAAATTTAAGAAATGCTCAAGAATTATAATTTGTTCAATTACATGTATTTATTATCTAGAAACGTTTTAAAATCTACTCTGCTTTGAAACTCTTATACTAATCCCTCCACTTCCTCTCTTCATTCATATAAAAACACGCTCTACAGAAAATACAAAACAAAATCTTACTATGTTTTTTCTGTAACAGAAGGGAATGAGTTTCCACCTACCACCTTGCATTTTGCTCTTCCAGGGAAAAGCACTTAACATCCATTTTAAAAGAAAATCATGTGAGGACATGTATGTATATCAATTCAGTAGATCTTCAGTCGCTATTTCTTGGACATTTTCATTATAGTTAACCGAAGACATACACATATAGTTACTTCCTCCTAAAATCTAAAGTGACAATGGAGACTTTTTTTCTTAAAAATGCTCTATCCATTAGAGAACCAAAAGAATAGACAAAAAAGCAAAAAAAGAAAAATTGGAAGATAAAAAGCACAAAGAAAAAGGTCTCAGGCTTTACTATCTACTGAATAGTTGAAGAAAAGACAATGTGATCCTGTGACCTTGAGCTCACCCTCCCTTAGCAGTGATTCCCTGAAAACTTATAAAGATGAAATCTCAGATTTTTCACCAGGCAACAATGCTTAAAGCAAATATGAGACTGGTGAACCACAGCCAGGCTGGAATAACTGTGAATGAACTATAAATATTAGACTTTCCTTCGGGGTAATTTAACTTATAACCAGGTGTTCCCCTAGCTGAGACCTGGAAGCTAACAGCGATCAGCTGTTAAAAAGATACTAGGTCCTATCTGTAGCTTGAGCCTTCTAGAAGGATGGCTCACACACCACCTTTCTGTGATCTCCTTCCCTCCGCCTTGATAAGGTGGAGGAAAAGTGGAGGGGAAAAAAGGCAGGCCCATACTAATGTGAAATTAAGAGCTCAAGAGCTAAAGCTGAAGATACATGTCCATCTCTGCATTTTCTCCTGTCCTGAAGTCTTTTAGGACATTGTACAAACTAGTGCCACAGGATTCTTCTAGTCTTGTGAGTTTAAAATATCTTTCTGAAGCTAAAATTGCTGACTGTGGGCTTGTCCAAAAAAAAAAAGCAGGCTAATTCCCCAAACTCCAGGCAATTTATGTAATTGCAGTCCTGTTATGAATCTAAAGCTAGGGGACTGGCTGAGACTAAGACTCTCTCCTGGGCCCATACTGCCAGGTCATTACATAGTCCCATACCTTCTGGACTAAGGAAAAACACTACTGTTTGGTGTTACATGCCTCAGAGTACTCTTTAACTCTTTTACCTGTGTAATTATCTGTAATATTTAGATACCAGGAAATGCCAGGAGCCACCATGCCCAATATACTTTATATGAATAGAATGTCCTAGGGGTTTGCAATGCACAATCTGGGAAATCTTACTGTTAGCCTAGATACTCAATGAGGCAAAGAGACATTTCTTGTTTAATACAAGTCTTCCTAACAAATTTTCAGTCTGAAAAATCTTACAGTAAAATAAAGGGGGGTGCAGAAAGGGTTTGTGGAAAAAATAGCACAAGAAGCAGAAAAGATAAAACCATTCCACTTTGTAATTACAGCCTCCACAGAGATTTAAAATGCACAGAAATTAAAGAATGGAAATGCTGGTAACATATTAATTGGAGAAGGAATGATGGATACAACTGGGAATGGAGCTCTGCACTGCAATGCTGCCATTGAACTTGGCTCAGGAGGAAGTGCACCTGCCAAGGGAAACTCCCTGCAAAGTCAGAGCTGGGAGCAGGTGCTCATTTTTCAATTTTCCTAAAAAAGTGTCCTAAAAGAGAGCCTAAAGTTAATAAAAACTTTGGGAGCTTAAAAGTGGTATAAGTAAAACTCTCGACAAGAATAAATTATACCAGGGTGCCTGGGTGGCTCAGTTGGTTAAGCGACTGCCTTCGGCTCAGGTCATGATCCTGGAGTCCCTGGATCGAGTCCCACATCGGGCTCCCTGCTCGGCAGGGAGTCTGCTTCTCCCTCTGACCCTCCCCCCTCTCATGTGCTCTCTCTCATTCTCTCTCTCTCAAATAAATAAATAAAATCTTTAAAAAAAAAAAAGACTTTAAAAAAAAAGAATAAATTATACTGGAATGAGAAGGCTCAAGAGAGAAAGTATGCTGAATCTGCATTTTGTTAAAAAAAAAAAAAAGGACAGAAATTAATGATTTTACACTGAGTTAACTTAGTGATTTATGTTTTTAAAATAATGGTATTTAAAACTATATACATCTCTACTGTATAGTTTTTGAACTTGCAGAAGGAGGAAAGTATAATCTGTATCAATGCAGCAAATTATAGGAAGAAATTAAAGTAGCAAATAACACAATTCACCAACAGCAGTAACAAAATAAGCTTGTGGAAAGAACTCAAATATAAAAGTAATACAAATAAATTGAGCATATTTAACCATCTCCTAAGTAACAGATTTACCAGATTGGATTTTTAAGGAAAAAAATCTAACAATATGCTAGTTATAAGATAAATGTCTAAAGCAAACTAACCTGAAAAGCACAAAATAAAAGGATGAACAGACATGCCTTGCAAACACTACCAAAAATGAAGGTTGTAGCAATATGATTCATTTTAGTTTAAGACAAAAACTATTAATTCACATAAAGGCACAAGGTGCATAATAAAAAAAACAAATTATAATAAACTTATTAAGAACATAGATTTGAATACACAAGACAAAATATTTGACTGATTATGAGAATTCTTTTTTTTTTAAGAGATTATATTTATTTATTTGAGAGAGAGAGAATGAGAGAGAGCAAGTACATGAGAGGGGGGAGGGTCAGAGGGAGAAGCAGACTCCCCGCCGAGCAGGGAG